GCTCAGCTCTATTCTAGAACACCTGATCGACTCCTGTCACTCTACCAACCCTCACTATGATTTTAAGATCATCTTTTTTCATTTATTTATTTATTTTTTTTGATTACAACTTGATTCCACACCATATTTTCAGTACAAGTATGGAATTTTCAGCATGGATATCGGTAGCCCAAATTTTGCAGGCCGACCATACATATCGGATGTGCGTCTGTAGGGGATCGAACACCGGACCATGTGCATGGTTGGCGAGTGTCCTAACCACTGTGCCACCGAATCCATGCTAACTTGCCACGTTTTCTTCGTTACACACTCCTAAAGATAGAGGAGGTCTTGACCATTCATAACTTTAAGCCAGACCTTTGGGTACAAAAGAAGTATGTACAATCCCTACTTCTGCCTTGGCCGAAGAGGGAAAGACACTTATTTATTTATTTAGTTTATTTAGTGATTCTATGTACCTTTCCCACATTACTACAACTGTTATTATTATTATTACTATTCTCACTCGGAATTGTTTCCGCTTGTCCCTCTTGTCATTCTAAATCCAAAAAGCATTTCTTTTACAATATTGAATTCTATCTTATCAAATTTCACACCATATTATGTAACATTTTATCTTAGCTTATTAATCCTATGCACTCCTTTCCAACAATATCTATACAACATCTTATGAATTAATCTATATATGACACTAGTTGTTTTACTACTTCACATTTAACTATGATTAGAATCACAAATATTTTAATTGCATTTCATACTATTGTAACAGCAGAAGGCAACAATAATAATAATAATTTGCTTTGTTCCAGAAACAGTACTAGTGGTACAGTGTGGAATTTTCAGCACATATCTACAATATTTGCATATAATTTTATCCAACATTCAAAAGGAGTATTTCCAAAAAAATAATATAAAGACAACAACAGCAGAAAACCACAAAAGAAAATTTAAAAAATGTGAAAAGATACCAAGAAGTAGAAAGGGAAATAAACAGCATATAATAATATCTCAGTATTCGGTAGTGGAAGTTATGATATGATTATGCATGGTAACAGTAAAGCTGTAGTCATACAAGAAGTTATGAAAATGATATTTAAGAATGTTTATCACCAAGACGATCAGTTAATTTGGTTGAGACAACACTAAACAATCATAAAATAACATTTCAGGGTTTGTTGTTTTGTTTTTTATTGTCAGGTCTAATGCAGTGTTTGTAGTTGTAGTGTGAGTAATCCTACATAATACAAAATTTTAAGATGGTGATAATGGCGTTCACAACCAATGATTATCAGTTAATATTGCCGAAAAAAATGAAAAATAAGAAAAAACAACCACAAAAACTAATAATTACATGATGGTTAATGACAGGATAATTTTGAAATACTCATAGTGCTAATATAGTCGGAACCAGTAGATACACAAAAGAAGGAATACATTAAAGTACAAAAAAGGAAGCCAATGTTAATAATTTAAGAAGGAGTTCACTATAGAATACAAAATAAGAGAGAGAGCCTAAAAGCAAGTCATAGGTTTCTCTGTCACTTAGAATACGGGCCAAGTATGGTATCGTTGAGTTTCTGTACTTGGTTGTACGAGCATAAATTATTTTATACTGAAGAAATGGAAGCAAAAGTATTCAGACGTTGCCGCCAACATATACAATGATTCTTATTGTTAGGATAAAACTCCATTGGAACCTATTGTTTTTATTCCCACCACCACACTATTATTATTTCATATATTCACACCTTTAATTCAGTTCCCTCACCGGATATAATTTCTTATAAACCCATATAGATATATAAATATATATATGATTGTACAGCTTGATAATAAGTTCGTTGTTGAAAAGAGTCTCTTCGCTGAATATTGTGCATTGCTAATAAAGCACTAATCATCATCGAAAAATATTCAACCAAGGAAATAACTTTATGTTTAGTAGGTCTGTATTTTTGATTTTACTGGAAATAAAATTTTTCATATCTCTGGTGCCTGTGTTGCGTCATACCTAATGTAAGTATAAAACTTGGGCACTGTGGTAGAGCATAACTCCATTATAGATAAGATTTTATTTTGATAAATCACACAGTGTTGTCATACAGTAATATTAACTGATGACCACCTTTTGAGCACAATTTATTACTCATGATCATATCAAGCTGATACTCACACAACTCTCTTGCTTCATTTATATACATGTGTGGAATCGATTAGATATTGGAATAAAATTCAATATGAGATAATGTACATTCAGAAATAATAATACGAGTGTTATTGCTCAATTACAATTAGATGGGAAAAAGGACGAGTGTTTCCATAGTTATAATAAGTTACTTGTTGGAATGTTGTGATGCGCTTGAATTGAAATAGAATATTAAGATCATTTATTACTCTCTTCTCTCTATTTATATATATATATATATATATATATATTTCAATTCGTCTCATCCGTTAACTGTTAAGGCAGGCTTAGTTAAGTGTCTAACAAACCACGACATAGCACTAAGTAGCACAAAAAAGACCTAAACGACGAAATAAAACAGATAGAAGAGCCGTTGGTGTTAAATAATTAACTATCCTATAAAATTCACTAGGAGGATAACTAAAGGCCAAAAACAAAATAAAAATAATTATGAAACTAGTAATGACAACATAAATAAGAGAGAATATAAGTCATCCACTGTAATGCCATATAAGGAGGGGACATCTGAGAAACTATGTAGGATTCTTAATAAGGCAGGAATTAGGGTGGTGGCATTCAAACCTACAGACTCACTCAGGTAGGACTAGCTCTGTAGGCTAACAGACCCGATGGACCCAATTAAACAAAATAATATAGTTTACAAAATACCCTGCAATGACTGTGAGTGAGGTCGACTACATAGGTCAGACTAGTGGGTCGAGGGTAGTCAGATTATCAGAACATAAGAATTTAGTTAAGCGAAGAATGGTTGACCCTGAAAAGATAAGTAATTTAGAAAAAAGCTCAGCAATTGCACTTCACGCATTAACAAACAACCACACAATAGCATGGGAGAGGGTTAAAATTCTAAAGAGTAATATAGGAAGGTGGAGAGAGAGGTTGATTACGGAATCCTTGTTCATTGAGTCTACACCCAACGCATGCAACAGAAATGACTCAATGCAAATACCAGAAATATGGAAGATATTATTACCACCGGTGAAATCAAGGGAGGATACTAAATAATCTCAAAATTCTATTTCAATTCAAGCGCATCACAACATTCCAACAAGTAACTTATTATAACTATGGAAACACTCGTCCTTTTTCCCATCTGATTATATTTGATTGATAACACTCATATTATTATTTCTGAATGTACATTATCTCATATTGAATTTTATTCCAATATCTAATCGATTCCACACATGTATATAAATGAAGGAAAAAAGTTGTGTGAGTGAGTAACTTGATATGATTATGAGTGGCAATAGTTTGTGCTCGAAACGTCATCAGTTAATATAACTGTACAACACTGTGTGATTTATCAAAATAAAATCTTATCTATAATGGAGTATTGCGTCATACCTATTGCACACGTATGACATGTTGACTCAATGAAAAGTGATCCAGTGATCATTTTCTCTATATATATGTGTCTCTCAGCTTAGGCATGTTACTTTTCAGGACTGTTGCTCTTTCCCACTGTGTTCTGTGGTTGTGTGTGTTAGTGGACTCACTGCAGCTTCTGTTTGTTGTTCTTTCAAATCGCTCAACTTTTTGAGTCAACTGTTTTTCACCCAAGTAATAATAATAATACCGTTTACAGGGTTTCATCCTGAGCTGATATCGATTAGGAAACCATTGGAAGACCTGCCACGTAGTACTGAACAGCTGTTTCGTCCCAGTTTTGGACTCTTCATCAGTACGCACTCCCGGCTGGTTTTCCAACAGTTCTCTAACGGATGTCAGCTTATGATGAAATCCTGCGACCAATCAATCAAATCCTTACAAACAAAACTTGAATAATACTACTGCTTTTTATTTTGAGCAGTAAATTTCATACAGTGTGAAATTCTCAGCAGGTAGTACAAACTTTTATTCAGTTTTCACTATATACTACACAGTAAGAGGTATAACAATTAGCAGAAACAGTTGCATTAATAAATGTCAATGAAATAAATATAAAAACAAGAAATTGAGCAAGGAATATCCTTTTCGATAGATAATTTCCTCTTCTCGCTCTACAATTATATATGCATGTTTATATACATCAAATATTCTATAATAGTAGTCAATAACTGCTCCTGTGGAGCCAGTTACATAGGCCGTACAATTAGGCGTGTTTCTCGTAGAATTTCCAAACATTACCCTGCATAGTGGTTAATTGAGTAAAGGACAAACAAAATCTATTCACATAACGTTTTTCTAAAACAAGATTGAGGATGTTAACGAGGCAGCTTTCAAAGTCATTTACCGCGCATACCAACTAATCTTAACTTCGCCATTAGAGTTTGACTACTAAATATTGCTGAGACTGGCTATTGGGATCCACATTAAGAAGCCTAATTTATGCGTTCAAAAGAAGCTAGTTCAGACATTGTCCTTACATTGGCCACCTAGGTTTGAATGATCCTCAATTTTAGTTGATATTCTATTTGATACTATATCTTTATTATTATTATTATTTAAGCATCTTTAATGAACTGTAATTCCATTGTGATCTTACTTAACAAATCGATATTATTTAAAAAGCACACCAATATTGTTATTGACTACTATTCTAGAATATTCTGTGTATATAAACATATATATATGTAATTGTAGAGTCAGAAGAGGGAATTATCTATCGAAAAGGATATTCTTTGCTCAATTATTTTGTTTGTTCTTTCATAGAGATCTATTGACTGACTTAAGCGTGTTCTCAATCATATCACATTAGAAGTTTTCATACATTAAAACATTGTTTAGATAATTTTTTTCTTTTAGTTTTCTGATATAAAACATGCTTTTTTTTATAAAAAAAATTCTTATATGCATATATATTTTTTATTAGAAGTTTTCATCAGTTTGATTTCTTAAATAATTTTAACTTTCGTCTTTTACTACTATTATTATGATGTTCATGTTTTTGTACAATGTGTTCAATGTCTTTTGTTTGTTTTATTATATTAATTGGTGGATTTATTGATTGGTTGTAATCTGCATCATTGTTTGAATTATTATTATTATTACCATTATTACTATTATTGTTATTATTATTAGTAGTAGTATTATTAGTATTATTATTATTGTTAGTTATTCTAGGTAAAACATTATTATTCCACGGTACAGAGGCAACAGCTAAACGTGAAAGTTGTAATAATTTTTGTGAAAATAATTTAGTATTTCGTGTACACAGCATAGGGTGTTCATTATGATAATTAGTATGAAAGCATTCTTTACATAGGACAATATTTGTACAAAATAAACATGTATATCTTTCATCTAACCAATTCACTTTATCACATAATTTACACGGTGTATTTAACCATACTTGATCAATATTTGATTGATTATTTTTATTAGCATTACCCTCTACAATTGGTGGATTCAATAAAATATTCGGTAAATCATCAGCTTTACAAAAACTAAAAAATGAATTTAAGCATTTCTTGTCTTTGTATGGATGTGGTATAGCATAGATTCGACAAATTTGATTATTATTGCTGAAATTTTTCATCATTCTTTTTATACATGATTTTGATATAATTTGTACAAATTCGTCAACACCTTGAAAAAACAAACATTAGAAACAGACAAAAAAAGGGAATTCTGTTGAGTTTGAACATATTTTATTAAAAAATTTAAGATAAATAAAAAATAAATATGTATTACTGATGAAGAGTCCCGAACAGGGACGAAACAGGTGTCTAGTATTCAAAATTTCACTAACTGAAGACACTACTTGATGACGATGAAACCTGAAGTCAGTTAAATTCCTGCGAAACTAATCCTACTGACTGTCTACAGGATGAAGTTTCCTGAAGTTTTAGGGGAGAAGTCGTTACCACTGGGGTCCTTCAGATCAGGTATGACGAATGAATACTTACCGATGATATTAGTTGGTCGTCGTGACGCATATCATGAATTGGTTTAAGTTAGAACTACTGATCAGCACATTGTCTGTCTGGTTTCAACATAGAACTCTGCACGGTGTGCAGCAGTTCGAGTCACCACACTTCACTTAGTACACAAAGCCAGAGAGGAAAGTAAAAAGAAATGCAAAATAGAGACAGTAAACAGAGATATGAGGCAAAAAGAATAGTAGTATCGAAGAACCATATTGTTTTATCGGATATTATAAGTCACGAGGAGTGGATGCATCTGAGACAGCCATTGAGAACGATCACTTTAAGCCATGTCACCAATTGTCTCCAGCCTCCATTGGTTTTCAGCCGTCCCGAGGACCCCAACCAGTCAGGACGTCTACACCTCCCTACGTGACTGGCTGGCTTAAAATAACTATTGTGGATTTCATTGAACAATGAAGCCATGTTTTGGTTTAACCACCAGTGGCTCTTTTCCAACCTGAGCCATCCTATGTCAGCTAACAATGCCCGTCAGTCGAGGAAGGCGATGGCTAAGGACGCATGCGTAACACATGTCCCAACCACCTCCATCGGTGTAACTTCACAGCACATTAGGCTGGGTTGAACGGTCAACAAGCTCACTTTGTAGCCGGTACGTCCTGAGGTTCAAACCCTGATGGGGTAATGGGTGCGTCCTGTTGAAAAGTCTGAGACTGGAACAAAACAGCTGTCCAGTAAGTACTTTCTAGTTTTCAGTGGTTCTCTAACTGAAGTCGATTTCTGATTAAACTTTAAGGCCAAGTTGAAAAGTAGCAATCCACCCAGGAGTGCGAACGCACCAGTGACCTTGAAGGCATTCTATTCGTTGGATAACAGGACCTACTATTATTATAGTGCCACCATGAATTCTGTGCACAAACTGTCTAGCAAATTTCATCCCGATCTCCTTTTTATTGTACTGGGTTGACAGCTAGTTAGGGCTACTATTCGGCTTAAGGCTAGGATTCAGGTTACTGTGCTTTATTTTTCTAGTAAATAAATGGTAGTTTTATGTCAAAACAGTGGTTATTTTGATTGGTCGCCTCAAGGTCAGTCGTTCGTTAGCATCTCTTGGATCGATATTGTTTAACTTTAACCAGTCAAATCCTTACAAAATTACATTTTGCATTTTCATGAAGTGAACATGGGTGATTCTTAATGAGAAAAGAGATAGTAAACAGTCACACACACCAGAAATTAGTGCAAATGAGATTATAGTCGAATCTACTGAAACAAAAGGCTTTGCATGTAATTCTAGGATTACAGATTAAACTGCTCCTCAAAGTCATGGAATAATGGCTAACAGGTGGACGCGGAATAGGAAACGATAAGTTAAGGCGTGGTTCCGAGGCTGACATGGAGGAGGTAGTGTGAAAAGAAGGAAATAAGAGCGTAAAAGCAATCGTTGAGTCAGTTAGAGAAGACGGCGGATAAAAAAGTGAAGTGAAAATGTGCTTCTGTGAAGCATTATCCTCGACAGTTCAACAACTCTTGCATTTTACCTGTTCTTCTTTAATTACTCCCCCATGTTCTTTCATGGACAACTTAAAGAAGATTTTGTTATATTGTAGATGACACTGAAAGCTGTCGTTAAGAATAGTGATTTACCTCTTAGAGTCAACCCAATGAATTCTTTGCAGACAGACATTTAAACTTATTCAAAAAAGACTCGAGGAAATCTATCCTGTCGCACTCAGAGAACCCTCTTGTCTCACAATTATCCGGTTCCATCCTCCCCCACCCCTCTGATAAGTCAGGAAGCAGTGTTGAAAGACTTTTATGGGCAAAGTTAAACTTTAAGCACCACTAACTACCAATCAGCAAATGATCTCGAACGCACCAATCACGTGAAGGAGGCATTTTTGTGTATTGAAAGCATATATTCATGAAAAAACATCCATAAAAAGTGTAGAAAAGTGTTACAAAGGCTACCTTGCTCTCACATGTGATAAAAATAGCTCTCAGTTTCAGGTTGGAGTGTCAACAGAGTATAACTCCATTGTGGGTAAATTTATTTTGATGAAGTCCCACAGTGTTATACAGTAATATTTACTGAGCAATAAATTGTGCTCGAAACATTGTCATCAGTAAATATGACTACTGTATAACACTGTGAGACTTTATCAAAATAAATTTTACCCAGAATGGAATTATACTCTACCACCACAGTGCACAAGTTCTATTCTTATATCAACAGAGAAATTTAACCCCATTCTACGCATGTAATTATTTGGGTCTTCTAACCCTAAAAATAATCCCAATCTTTCCTGAACCTAACCCTAACGTGAAAATATCCCTGAACTAACTGTAATCTAACTCAAACCAACCCTAATGTCGCCTTTATTAGGTTAACGTAACCCTAAATTTGCGCTTGGCTTAAAGCGTAACTTAATCTTTCCCAAATACCTAAGCTGAAACTTCCCACATATCTCATTTAATAGGATAACACTTTGATGAGCATATTTTATTGATGATGACAACATTACATGGCAGATTTCACTAACTTGCTCAGTGAGCGTTTCAAGGTCATTGGTGCGGTCGCACTCCATTGGTAGTTGTTGTCAGTGGTGCCTAAAGTTTAACTTTGCCACTTAATGCATTTACAAGTAAATATATATAAGCTCAACAATGCCTTATTTTAGCACATATTTTGCGTAGTGAAAAAAGCAGTAGGTATGAAATTATTAACCTCCTGTGGAACAGTAAATGATAAGCTGTTTCACTTGTGCCTATCATTCAGGTATTGTTCCCACTGCTTCTAATAATGTGGAATTCAACTTTTACGTTTATATATTATCACTATGAGTAGTTACTTTTCTTATTTCTTATCATAATTTTATTTTGAAGTGAACATTAGATGCGAAAACTTACCACATGCTATGAATTTCACACTGTTTCACAAATATTGTCTCGAGTAAACTTGCCACTATTGATGTGATTGACCGCTTAGTGAGCAACCACTGGTTGTGTTACAGACTGAAATCTATCATATGAAAAAGAGAGAAGACATTCAGCGAAGAGACTCTTTTCGACGGCGAATTCATTCACATAGCTGTACAATCGCATTTATATATAAATATTTGTGTGTGTGTGTGTGTACATGAGGTTTGTCAAGTTTAGATAATTGATTAGTTAACACAAGAATGATATAGTATAGAGACAAAGTTAATCAGACAGCAACTAAAGTAAGATTGAGTTAAAAAGCTAGATGACGTAATATAATTGGCTAAGAATGTTACAACTTAGGTCAGGATAGCAACAGAGGTAATTACAGGTAGCGATTAAGTAGAAGTGAAATTGAGTGAATAAGTTGGATGACGTAACATGAATGACTAGAAATTGAGCGTTGGACAAGTCAGTAACAGTGGTAGTGAGGTGTAGAAATTGAATCGGGTGGGGGTAGAGAACAAGAAAGTTGAAAATGTAAAATGTTACAATTGAGAAGACAAAATAATACTAATGAAGAGACAGAAGAAAAGATTAGGTAGAATTTACATGTCGGGTAATAAGATAGATTAAGTCCATTGCAAGTGTAGTGATTGAACGAACTTCTTCTGTATGCAGAGTTCAGGACTTAGCAAGTGAATCGCCATTGCTTCTGCAGTTCTAAGATGGAACATCTGATAGAATCCGGACACCAAGCTACACACCAAACAAACTTCAAAGTCGTCTACAGAGTAAGAAGTAGTCTCCCTAAAGGTGTACGAATCAGACTTCTTCAAACTGCAGAAGCAATGGCGATTCACTTGCTAAGTCCTGAACTCTGCATACAGAAGAAGTTCGTTCAATCATTACACTTGCAATGGACGTAATCTATCTTATTACCCGACAAGTAAACTCTAGCTAGTCTTTTTCTCTCTTGTCTCTTCATTAGTATAATTTTGTCTTCTCAATTGTAACATTTTACATTTTCAACTTTCTTGTTCTCTACCCCCACCCGATTCAATTTCTACACCTCACTACCACTGTTACTGACTTGTCCAACGCTCAATTTCTAGTCATTCATGTTACGTCATCCAACTTATTCACTCAATTTCACTTCTACTTAATCTCTACCTGTAATTACCTCTGTTGCTATCCTGACCTAAGTTGTAACATTTTAGCCAATTATATTACGTCATCTAGCTTACTAACTCAATCTTACTTTAGTTGCTGTCTGATTAACTTTGTCTCTATACTACATCATTCTTGTATTAACTAATCAATTATCTAAACTTGACAAACCTCATGTACACACACACACACAAATAATTATATATAAATGCGATTGTACAGCTATGTGAATGAATTCGCCGTCGAAAAGAGTCTCTTCGCTGAATGTCTTCTCTTTTTTTCATATGACTCAATGGGGATTTTCAATCTACTGAAATCTATCAGTCAAATCTGCAATGTGGTCACCAAGCCAGGTGGCTCATCACTGAGGTACATTGTTAGTTTACCCCCTGAATAGTTGGAGGCAGTCGACAGAAATCCCTGATTACTTCCTAGTGACCAGTCAGTGTATCTATCACAGTCTTACATGAGAACAGTCGTGAGTCGGAACACCTCTGTAGTAACGTCTTTGACTGCTCCACTGGGTGACATAAGCCCGAATTTCAGAGGGCATATAAGTTGCCTGATGGTTGTAGATACTCTGACAAGGAGGAAACCTAAGTCTGGTAA